TTCAAATCAATCAATCAATCAATCAAACAATCAAACCCAACATATGGATAAATGAGGGCAAAATGCAACAAACATCAGAGTACTTGATCGGGACACATATATTATATATATTATATGTATATGCGCGTAATGCTTGTGCAGTCCAATTTTGGGCACCACCGTCAGCCCGTCAGCCAGTCCCGGCAAGCTAGTGATTGCTATTTGTTATATTAAGATGATATGATATTGGGGGATTGATTGATTGATAGTGATTGTGTATGTGTATGTGAGTGTAGGCGATGTTGTTGTTGCACCCATGCTATCTTGTCATCCATCCAACATCCAACATCATATTGGGCAACTGCCAGTTTTCTGACGATGTTGTATTAAGCTATCACGGGTTGTGTTGTGATGATGTGAGGTTGTGGTTGGATTGATGGATGGAAGTGATTGAGTGATGGAGTGTACACCATGATGGATATGTCGTGCGTATAATTATAGCACTAGGTGTGATTGAATGATTGATTGAACTAGTGGTGGAACAAACAAACAGGCACTACACTCTTTCTTTGGTAATATGAAGATGATGTGTGACTTCTCGGATGATGTAACAACAGTATTCAGGATTGCGCAAGTTCATTCAATGGGTGGTGTTGGATGGTTAGTTGGTTGGTAGAGGAGTGGTAAGTGTGTTAGTGTGAGTTAGTGTGTTTGTCTGATTGTGATTGTGTACCACCCACCAACCGAACCGAACCACATGATTGATGATGATGAATGTTGTTTAGAAGTAAGTGCCACATGAGTAAGTAAGTGCTCAACAGATCGGTTCGTTTCGTCGTGATGCATCCATGCATTCACTTAGGATATGTAATGTGTAGTATGGTTGAACAATAGGTGTGTGTGAGTATATTACTGATTAAACATTGATTAGTGATGATGTTCAATGCTTTACAACGTTTGATTGTGACGGGCTGCGATGACTGTCGGGAACGGGCCTGATGTATTTGATCAACTACAATCAAATACATCGTCCATGGATATGCTATGGTCGATCATTGATAAATCAATCAAATCGGAAGGGTGGTCGTGGTCGTCATCTTCGTCATGATCATTTAAAAGTATAATATATATATATATATATATAATGACTAAGTTACATCATCAATCCTCATCATCCAATCACACTCACACACACTAACCCACACAACTAATGATCTGATCTACAACAATGAAGATCTACATACATACCTACAAGAAAGTAGTTGTTGAACTACTTCATCCATCGATCATCATCAACAAGTGTTGTGTTGTGTTGTTGTCAACTTGGCAATGTATGATGGAATGGAATGGAATTGAATTGATCATGATTCCACTTACTCACTCATTCACTCACTCATTCATTCCAGTCAACAAGTCAGCTGACTGTCTAATGAGTGTCGTTTCGACGACATTATATTACATACTTATTTAGTATTGTATGATCATCATTCTTATTACACTGCCTGAATGAATGAATGACTTTGCTGTGTGTTTTCCACAGTTAGGCCTTGTTCGGGCTCCTTGATTAGACTTGACCTGATCTTATTGTTAATGGGGAGTGGGTGGTTCAGTGGGGAAGGGGAACAGACAACTCTACAAAGAGTGTTGGAGGGGTGGGTTGGTGGAGGACCAATCAACTTCAACTCAACTTGAGTATTTGATTGATGATAAAGAGAGGCTCATTCATTCTAATATTGAGTAAGTTAAAGATCCAACTCATTTATTCAATCATCATATATATAAACACATAAATACAGAGCAATAGTAGTGATGACTCGATCAAACAACAACATTATAGTGTTCAAAGTACAACATAGAGTAGAGTTTGGACAGAGTGTTAGAGTTGTTGGATCACATCCTGGTCTTGGAGGATGGTCCATCGCTCATGGATTGTCACTCAAATGGAATGAACATGATTGGTGGATAGGAGAGTTCATATGTCCAAATAATCATACAAACGACATCAATATAGAATACAAATATGTAGTCCTTGACAACAACAACAATGAAGATGGTGAATGGGAGTCAAATGGCAATCATAGACTGAGCATGAGCATCAGTATGAGTACCACTCAATCAATAATGATTGATGTAATCGATGAATGGAATGGTGGTAATGGAATGAGTCCACTCCTAGACTTCCACAACATCGCCTCATCATCATCATCATCATGGGACAACAACAACAACAACCAATATAATATGTTACATCCATTGGATTCACATCAGATACCCAATGCACCTGCACATATATGTTCATTCATTCTTACGGATGAACGTATAACAGAGTCACATTCAATCCATTTGGTAATAGACTCACTTGGAGATGACATTCATGACTCGATACAAATGCTTCCTGTCACTCTAACTGGTGCATCACATTGTCAATGGATATGTCAGCTGCTGCTACCTCAATCAACAGAGTTTGAATACATATATGTAGTTCAAGGTGGTAGCGGACAGGCTGTCACCTGTCGCGAGGACCGTGCACGTCGGTTCACATCACCCCAGCTTCTGTCACATGATCATCAACACCAACACCTAGTCATACACAATGATAGTCCACTTCGTATATCCAATGCCCGAGCATCATGGATCACAACAGGACTAGTGGGCCTCGAGCACAAAGACTTTAACTGCTCCCTTGTATCCGTGGTCCATCTCCTTTTCAACTTCCCCAAGCTTAGACAGGTAGGTGGACGACCCCATTGAGCGATACATGACCATGAAGACTGACCCCATCATCCCCATTCACAGCGACTGATAGACACTCCACAATACAAAGGCAGGCCATATAGCAGTTGTCTGTCAACTATTTTCAAGGATATGGAGCAAGGCCAGCAAACGGACTTGGCTGGTCTGCGGTCATTGGTGGCACTCAGCTCTGATGCTGGCGAGATACTCAATATCATACTATGTGAAGTCATTGATGAGATATCAAGGAGTAATAGTGTCCTCGACAACAACAACATGGGTATTCGCCACATGTTTGAAGGAGACCTTGCCAAGACAGCGATCGTCTTGGACAGGAATGGCAACATCGAGTCGGTTAAGTCACACAGCGAGAAGTTTGTCAATATCATACTGCCAGTGCGCGGCTTTGTCTCGCTGGAGGAGTCGCTCAAGGTCTACCAGCACAACATCGAGCAGGTGGGCACGACCACATTCGAGACGATCGTGGCCTTTGACAACATGCCCGATGTGTTTGTCGTCCAGCTTGATCGCGCGCATCAACAACACGATCATCATCACTACACCAAGGTCACAAACCGCTTCTCATTCCCCAAGCGATTCATCCCTGTCAATCAGACTGTGTACGGGATCAAGGCGATCATCTGTCATCAAGGCGACTCGCTTAACGACGGACACTTCTTTGCCTATGTACGTCGCGGCAAGCAATGGCTCAAATGTGATGGCGTCTCCATCGAACAAGTCTCTCGCAAGATGGCCTTCTACGACAGCTTTGGAGGCAGTCCAAATGATGGACAAGCATGTAAGTGTTGTCCTTGTCGTGTCGTTGTCAATGTTCCAGCGCTAACTCATCGATCCATCCATTGTAGATATACTTGTATACGAGAAGCAGGATGGCTCTCCAACAGGTGCCCCTGCTCCATAACCCTTAACTTATGGATCCGCCTTATTAGGCATTTATTTCCTTGACCTTTGATTCATTCAACTTGGTCAAGGTGGCAATATAGTCGTCGGTGATCTTCTGGATGTTCTTGTCCACGGTCTTCTCGTCATCCTTTGTAAACTTATAACTCTTCTTCACCATGTCCGCTGCATCCTTTCTATGTCTTCTTATGCTGACCTTGGCCTGATTGATTGTTTGGTTGATTGATTGATGGGCGAGTCAGTTCAATGTCTTTCCATCTCATTCATTCATTCAAAGTAGTACTACTTACTGTCTCTGCCAGGTTGTTTGCTGACTTTATAAGTGTTTGGCGAAGCTCTTGTGTTGGCCTGTAAAGGGATAGGATGGTAAGTACATGGGTCGCACATACATCAACTCAATCAATCAATCTTCAACACTTACTTTGGCATTGCAAGTTTGATCATCTGACCTTGGACCTGTGGGCTCATGCCAAGGTCTGATCGTGACTGAAGTGCCTTCTCAACGTACTTCAACAGCTGTTGTACGCCATGCAGGTAGTAGGGTGTTGGTCAAGTTAGTCAATAGTCAATGATCAATGGAAGGACTGGCAAGAACATACAGTTGGATCAAAGAGTGTGAGATGGAGAGTGAGAGCATCCTTGACAGTGACCATGGCCACTTGATTGAGTGGAAGGGTACCATTGGGCGTTTCGACTTGGATGAGATCTAGGAGTTCGGGACCAGCACGTCCACATCTAATATTGCCGTAGCCACGACGAATGAAGTCGATGGTGGCATCACATGCTTGTTTCATCGCAGTGAGATCGACGTCTTTGACTGATGATATGACTACATCATCCTTCTTATCTGACTTGCCACCGCCTCCACCCTTCTTTGCACGTCCACTACATAACATTGTAGCGGCGGAGTTGGCGGTACCATTATCTCCAATGACATTTATGAATGATCCAGTCAATGGAGTATTTCTTGTAATATAGTGACGGCTGCCAGTCAATGAGATGAAGCTTGGGCCAGTTCTTGAGCAAGTCTGCTGTAAGTATGATTGAAGTGTTGAAGCCACTCGCAGTCTTCTTGTTATCATCATCATCGTCGTGTTGTCGTAGTAGTTGTATATGTATGAACGAAGTTGAAAGTAAACGCGAAGAATGAATGAAGTTGAAGGGGGGAGGGTTCGCTTTTTGAACAACTTTGAACTCGAATGAGCCCAAGTCAGGACCATTCATTCATACTTATAATTGAATATACTTATATTTATAACATAGATAGATAGATAGGTTGTGAATGGATCATTCAAATAATCAACAAGATGGGAATGATGATGATATTCCCGTGCCAGAGTCATGGGATGACGACGATGATGCAACTCAACTATACCTTCAACAACAGATAGATAGACGAATGGCATCATTGAGTATACAACAACAACAGAATAACAATGCTAAACAATCAACAACAACAACGATAACAACAACAAATATACAGACACCAGCATCACAACAGGAACCTGAGGAACCTCTGATACTTATCAACTTTACAAAGTTCACTGATGGTCATGTCGTTTGGAATAAGGTGGAGAACAAGCTGGATGGAGGAAGATTGTTTAAGATGTTGGTGCAGAAGATTAAGGAGTCACAGCAGTCGTTTGAGATTGTGACGGACGACCTGTGGCAGCGCGGTTTGGCCTTTCACTCGACGACGCGCACGTGGACCGACGATATCCGCACGCTGGAGCGACTGCACAGTGGCGACTTCTTCTCGATGATCGCCTACCCCGTGGTTGCCGGCGGCTTCCTCGTCAGCGAGATGTGGCGCAAGGTCAAGGAGCGCACCGAGTGGCGCAGCGTCAACTTCCTCAAGTGTATATATCTGGCCAAGTGCAATCGCAGTCTGATGTACAAGCATCGCATGGCATTGGCGCTCGAGTTCATGGCGATCGAACAAAAGGTGCTGGGGCGCACCGCGCAACGCATGCTCGACGAGGAGGCTCTGGAACACGAGGCACAGGTCAAGGCATATGAACGAGCATTATTCCAGCGCCACGAGAAGGAGATCACCAAACGAATTATCACATCGCTGCAAAAGTCTATTGGCAGCAATGAAGGCATCAACCTGAATGACGACAGGGTATTCAATCCCCAGCAACATTGGCTGGATCAAGACAACGACAACGAGGAAGAGGAGGAATATGATAACGACGACAATGAGAACTACGACCAAGAGGAGGGAGATTATGATGGCGAGGAGGGAGACTATGATGGAGACGACGAACAGGCCGCCCCTCAAGAGCAAGACAAGGACGTGAATGTTGACGTGGACAAGGACAAGGACGTGGACAAGGACGACGAAGCTGAGGATGATCAAGACCAAGATGATGAATATTTGGATGAAGCAGACAATGAGGATGATGGCCCATCAATCAAAGTGACCCATTCTGCACTAAAATACAAAGACGACAATGACAATGAAGAAGACGAGGACAATGACAACGACAATGAGAAGGACAATGAGATTGATAAGACACCACTTGAACCACCAAAGGCTATAATGAATGTATTGGATCAGGTGATGGCAATGATCTTTAGTTCATTGACAATAGTAGATGATGAACAGACACATTTCAGAACACTGGATCGTCTGCAACAATCAGTTAGAGACAATTGGAAAGAAGAGTTTGGATGTCTACCGCCCACCTGTATCTGGCGTGATGACATGTCCTAATACCGATACACCTACTGATGGAAATAAACGACTACTCTTCCATCAATATCAATAAGCTCAAGGGGCCATCAATCATGGACTTGCGAGTCCACCAAATTGTTAATTTATGGGACAACCCCACACATTGAAGATCACTCTTTCATTCATTCATTCAACAACTTAGAGATAAAGATAAAGATAGAGATAGAGATATAGGATGTCAAGTACACCATCTACACCATCAACACCATCGACACCATCGACAACAACAACATCAACAACAACAACACCTTATGTACCACAACAACAACCACAACAACAGTTGAATAATAGAGATAGGAGATTGAGTGTTGTGGAGAGGGATGCTTTGAAGAAGGTTAGTGAGGTGATTCAACCTCAACATGAACCAGTGGCAAACTATGTGGTCAGTGGCGCAAAGTTTGGAGTGGTCAGTGGACTGGCGGTCGGCATAGTCGTGCCCCTATTCCTCAAGCACACCGACCGCGTCTCGACACTGCTCAAGTCCGTCTTCAACATGACATTCGTCAGCACAACATACATGGCATCGTCCTATTACCTCGAGCACAAGCATGTCCTGGCGCCGGGCGTAGCCAACGCCGCTGCCAGTGGCGCCCTCAGTCTCGGCCTGACTACCGGCCTGCTCGGCGGTCTGCGCCAGGCACCTGTCGGCGCGGTGGCGGGCAGTGTGATCGCTGGAGTCGGTCACTGGACCTATTATAACGTCATCAACTCGAAATCAAAGGATGCCGCTGCCTCTGGAACAATCAAACTGACGCCACAACAACAGATTGATCGGGCCAATGAGCTGATCAACAGACACAAACTCCAACTGCCACCATCAGACATGCAACTCTACCAACAACTTCTCGATGATATTGCACATCCCAAACAAGACCTGTCAAGCTACATTCAACAACTCTTCAGTGGCAACTCATCATCGCCATCATCATCAACAGGAAGCAAAGAGCACAAAGAATGATTGATTGATTGGTGTCAATGAATGGAGTGAGTTAATGAATGATCATGATCATTGTACAATTACAAAAACGAGGACTTCATTTACTTGAGGAGAGATAGAGTATCTGTTTGATTGGTCGTTGAAGATCCCAGGGTGTTCCCTTTGCAAGCCCCCCAACACATCAATGATCACACCCCCAATACTACACCATTTGTGGACCATCAAAAACATTTTGGGTCCTCCGACGGACGGGAAACTGGTTTGCTCTGTGATTATGTCACGCACTAGATCAGTGTGTGTGGGTGGCTGGGAAGGGGTGTGTGGGACGTGATCAGTTGTTCTGTTGATGTGAAGTGATAGATAGAGTATCAGAGTGTGGTAAATTATTAAATAATAAATGAAAGGGACCCAGAGACTGCCAATGAAGTATCAAGTAACCCAGTTCCCACCTAGTCACTCATCCCTCGAGACCTCTCTCCTTCACTTTACACTCGACACGACTACTCTGAGTCCCTCTTCATCCAAGTCCATAGTCTATTCACCTTCTTCTTACTCAAACTTATATTAATCTTTCATTCAATCATTTATATATCTTCACTCTGACTTTGGTCTTTGCCAAGTTATCCCCCACACTCTTTCTATCTTTCTCTCAAGGTATGTTTCAATCATTCATTCAATCACAATCAATCAATCAATCAATCAATCACAATCAATCTTGATGTCATCAATGTTTGAAGATGATGGGTACCAGTCGAGTCGACCGTTATATCGGACGCGAACACTGCCTAAATTCGAAAGAGATAGAACACAAGTAGAAGTAGTGTTGACATGTTAAGACGACCGAAGTGATCTGACGAATGCGGCAGGTGTGGGGGTGTGCGTGTGGACTCACAACAAAAGAACAAGATCTGTTCTTGTGCCAGTGAATTGAAATTTCCCACGCTCACACCTAAGGTTGCTCCTTCACTCACGACACACATGAAGGCGATCATTCATTTATTCACAACTCATATTCATTCGTCGCACTCTCTCCACTCCCTCACACACCTAAGTTATCTTTATGACTTTGAAGATACACATAATATAATATATTAACTTACATCATTACATTATTAGATATTAATATACATATATATACATATACACACATTTAAAGAATGAACAGTGCATTGACAATTAGCCAAGAGATTGCTCATAATAATGGAAGAGTGCCAACATATTTCACTCAGGAGGATAGCCACTCATTGAGCGCTTTGCTGGAGGAGTGCGCATTCAAGGCACAGGCCACAGAGGTCAAGCAGATCCTGGCCAAGGAGTGTTTGATCGAGGGCAGCCGCATCGATCCCGAGGTCGACTGGTTCTACTGCAAGTTGGGCATTGACGCCAACTACTTTGAGTCGACGCCCGCCATGGTCGTCGCCAAGCACATCCTGTCGCTGTACGCCGCCAAGATGGTGTCGCACGCCACCGGCTCCAAGCTCGAGGTGCAGCTGCAGTCCAAGACCGAGGGCTCCGCCACCTTCATCACCCCCTCCAACCCAGGCAAGCGTGACTCACCCGCCATGTCCATCGAGCAGTTCATCGAGTCCAACTACTTTGGCGAGGGCTACCACGCCGACGAGCGCCTCAACCAGGCCGCCCTCAAGCAGACCACCTCGCTGCCCCAGTCCGCCCACGGCTTCCGTCTGGCCTGCTACCGTACCACCGGCACCGTGTCCAACGCGTCGCCCATCCATCTGCGTCTCTACTACCTGACCAAGCCAGTGTTCACCACCGGCGACGCCGCCGTCGCTGAGACCGAGACCGACCTGACCAAGATCGGAGACATCAGCTTCCTGGCCCGCTCCAGCGACAACACCAAGATGATCTACCAGGAGGTCATGAACGAGGTCGTCACCCGTCTCGGCCCAGTCATCCGTCATTACCCATACCAGACCAACGGTGCCCGTCTGGTCATCGCCTACCGTCGTGGCTCCACCCACTCCTACTGGTCCGCCGTCTCTGAGCTCTACCACTTCCACCAGATGTACGCTACCCACAAGTACGTCGAGCAGTTCTCCAACGGAATCGTCATCTACTCTGTCTACCTTCGTCCACTCGTGCCCGAGGTTGACATTAACACCCTCATCGACAAGATTGCTGAGCAGGTATGTTTGTTTAACAAGTTGATTGATCGATCACAGACACCTAACCATCTCATACTCAATCAATCAATCAATCAATGTTGTAGGCTTCACTCGTATACGTTCTGCCACGTACATCTTTGACTCCACTCTTCCATTCACATCAACTTTCATTCCCAGAGGTGACATACGCCTACGTCGGATGGAAGTTTGCCTATCAATTCCTCAACAGATACGCCACTGAGTACTCATCGCTGGCCGCCGCCATCGGAGACGACTCCTCCAAGCAGTCACTGCTCGCCCAGCTCAAGACTCGTCTGAGCAAGGACACCTTCACTGAGGGCCGTGTTCGCGACGCCCTGCTGCAGTACCCAGAGCTGGTCAAGCTGCTGTACAGCGACTTTGAGAAGTACCACTTTGGCGCCAAGAAGGCCGCCAAGTACGACGTCACCCACGGCCAGGAGATCATCGCTCACATCAAGCGTGCCGTCAACAACGAGCTCGACAGCCAGATCTTCACAGCCATCCTGTCGTTCAACCGTCACTTGCTCAAGACCAACTTCTACAAGCAGACCAAGACCGCGCTGGTCTTCCGTCTGGAGCCCGGCTTCCTCTCCACCAAGGAGTACATCTCGCGCCCATTCGCCGTCTTCTTTGTCGTCGGTTCTGAGTTCCGTGGCTTCCACATCCGTTTCCGTGACATTGCTCGTGGAGGTATCCGTATCATCCGCTCGCAGAACACCACCCAGTACGACCACAACTCCTCGTCCGTGTTTGACGAGAACTACAACTTGGCCTCCACCCAGCAGTCCAAGAACAAGGACATCCCAGAGGGTGGCAGCAAGGGCACCATCCTGCTGAGCGCCGACCATCAGGGCAAGGCTGAGGTTGCCTTCCGCAAGTACATCGACGGTCTTTTGGACCTTTTGCTGCCCAATGAGGAGATCGTTGATCACTACGCTCAAGACGAGATCCTCTTCCTCGGACCAGACGAGGGAACTGCTGACTTCATGAACTGGGCCTCTGCCCACGCCAAGCAACGTGGTGCTCACTTCTGGAAGGCCTTCACCACCGGCAAGTCATTGTCGCGCGGAGGTATCCCACACGACCTCTACGGAATGACCACCCGTTCGATCCATCAGTACGTCCTGGGCACACTCGAGAAGCTCGGAATGGACGAGTCCAACGTCAGAAAGTTCCAGACTGGAGGTCCAGACGGAGATCTGGGCTCCAATGAGGTCAAGATCTCAAAGGACAAGACCATCGGAATCGTCGACGGAAGTGGAGTGTTGTACGACGAGGCTGGATTGGACCGCGAGGAGATCAACCGTCTGGCCACCAAGCGTCAGATGGGTCGCTACTTTGACAAGACCAAGCTCAGCGCAAAGGGCTTCTTTGTCGATGTTGCCGACAACGACGTCACCTTGCCAAGTGGCGAGATCGTCGAGAGCGGATTGATGTTCCGTAACAACTTCCATCTGCACCCACTGGCCGCCGCCGACCTGTTCGTGCCATGCGGTGGTCGTCCAGAGGCTGTCGGTCTGACCAACGTTGACAAGCTCTTCACTGCATCGGGTGAGAGCCGCTTCCCAATCATCGTCGAGGGTGCCAACCTCTTCTTCACACAGAAGGCCCGTCTCATGCTTGAGGAGAAGGGCGCCATCATCTTCAAGGATGCCTCTGCCAACAAGGGAGGTGTGACCTCATCATCTCTCGAGGTGCTCTCTGCCCTCGCCCTCAAGGACGAGGAGTTTGACCAGCACATGTGCGTGAAGGACGGCGTTGTGCCAGCCTTCTACGACGCATACATCAAGGACGTCCACCACATCATCGAGAGCAACGCCCGTCTGGAGTTTGAGTGCATCTGGAACGAGCACGCCAAGACCAAGACACCACGTACCATCCTCACCGACCTCATCTCCAACAAGATCAACTCGCTCACCGACTCGATCCAGGAATCATCGCTCTGGGACAACGTCGACCTCAAGAGAAAGATCATCTCTGCCGCCTGTCCAAAGACCCTGCTGAATCTCCTGGGAGTTGACCAGATCATTGCCCGTGTGCCAGTCTCCTACGTCAAGGCCATCTTTGGATCCTACCTGGCCTCTCGCTTCGTCTACGAGTGCGGTTTGTCCAGTCCAGAGTTTGCCTTCTTCACCTTCATCACTCGTCACCTCGCCTAAACTACCTGTTAACATAATCCACCAGCATTCATACACACCCAACATTTATTAAGCAAGCGCAACAAACAACAACCAACAAGTAGTAAACGTAAATATGTTTAGTTTAAATATCTCTAAATCGTGAACAGTCAATCAATTAATTAATCAATCAATCACATGGAAGGACGCACACACTACTTCCAAGATTGATGAACTTTCATACCTTGTGTCGACGTCACATGAATGATGGCGTAAGGTAAGTGGTCATTCTACAAACGACACGGGGTCGATTCATTCGTTTGATCGCCTGTTGAATCCAATTTTGTCAGCTGATCATCCAATCGATCAATGTTCGGGGCCAAGATCAAACAACACAAGGCCCCATAACTTCAAACGTCTTTTACACAAATATCTTTGTGTCATTCACTGGTACTGGACAGGGACATACATGTAATCACTAATCGAACCTACTTCATCACCATCAATAATATGTACATATCTAACGTAACGATCATGATTATAAAAGGACCCACCAACTTGGTTCACTCTTTCAATCAATCAATCAATCAGCTTAACAAATACACAATCAATCAAGAATGATTAGTAACAAGACACCATTGCCACTTATAAATCCAGGCACTCGCCTTGAATGGTATAATGCCATGTCCGCACAGTTGAACCAGATTTGTAATCCAACTTCCATTCCCAACAATACCTATGACACTTATGAGACTGGTATGTAGTGACCATCCACCGAAACCTGGAACCATTCAAATCAAATATACTGACACTCAATCAAATAGTTAAGTACGCAGTTATTGGATTGGCCTCTTGTATTCCAGTTTATGGTACACCTATTGCTGCCGCATTGTGGTTCATCACCACTGCAGTGGAGGGCTTCATCTCAAAGGACTCTGACCTCAACAACTACATATCAATGTGCAAGTTGATTGACAACAAGATTGCTGACTATGATTATAGTGGCCTGTTGGTCGAGCTCAAGAACTGTGCCGACCGTCTCAACGACTATGTCGTCGCCTACAACAATTGGAAGGCCACACCCAATGTCACCATGCAGAACACTCTGTTGGGCGCGTTGACCAATGCTCGCAACCAGTTCTCCACATCCATCAACCACGCCAGACGTCCAGGCTACGAGTTCCAAGAGTTGATGATCTTCTCAATGATGGCCACCATGAACTTGATGTTGATCCGTGAGGCCATCACAGTTGGACCAACATACGGCAAGCCAGCCGTTGAGATCAAGCAGGACTCTGCCACGTTGACCGCGCTGATCAAGGAGTACTCGGCCTACGCCAAGCTGACCTACAACAATGGCATTGCCAAGCTCAAGACCCAGACACCCAACGACAGCAACTTGTGGAACAACATCAACACTACCCGCAACATGATGATCATCGGTGTGTTTGATTATGTCAATGTATGGTGGACCCTGGACCTGGCCCTCTTCCCCAAGGGTGGACCAATCCAAGAGCGTGTGCGCTATCTCTACACTCAACTATGCGGCCATCCACTAAAGAAGGACTGGTCCTCAGTGACTGTGCAAGACATCGACCCGTTCTTTTCCAAGTTCGTGGCTGGCGCCAACGACAACTGGAACTACCAACAGTACCAGGGCGAGTTGAAGGAGTTCCAGAGCAACTGGAACCAAGACATGCGGGCGTTCATAGACGCCCAGCCAGTCTTCTACGACTATGAAAAGGGTACACGTGCCGGCCACAGGGTCACAGCCGTGAGCGGTCAGCCACTCACTCGCCAAATCTTCAATGTGGAGACCGACACTCACTCTGGCGCACAGATCAACTACGCCCGCAACCCTCAACTTATCGTCTTCCCAATCATTGCTACCGGCACATATGGCGACGGCTCTGACCCCAAGCCCCATCCAATGTTCACCTTTAGGAAGGATTACCTTGCTTTCAACGGCCACAAGATCGCCAACTTGGTGCCAGTTGGCATCAACATCCTCGACAAAGACCCATTCCCACCCTTCTCCCCTCTCCAGCCACCACACATCGCCGCATTCAGCATGGGCTTCCTGCCAACGGATGTCTTCCACCAGAACGTCGTGTTTGTCGACAAGACAACATGCATTGACGCCCAAAAGTACATCCATCAGACTGGCAACGTCGACTTCATGCCCGACTACTTCAACATTGGTTACCACGCCATGCGTCTGCCACCCGCCGGCTCATTCAAATTCCGCTTTGACCTCAGCAACACTGGTGTTGGCGCCAAGAAGTTCCAGATCTGGATGTTTGTCTCGTGTCCCAATGAGAAGTCGATGGCCACGCCCAGCGGCACACTCCAATTCCTCCAGGGTGCCAATGTCGTTGCCAAGTTCAACTGGACTGGTGTTCCAAGCTCCCAGATCGTCAATGATCCAGCCTGTATTCTAACCCTCCAGCCCAATGGTGACTCCAACATCTTTGAGATCAAGTATCTATTTGGTCAGAACAAATTGTACATCAAGTCCATCCTGTTTGTACCAACTGCATAAAGTGATATTGATTGATTGATTGATTGAATAATCCTTGTATGACTGACCTGACCCATTAATGATGAGATAGTGATGGAGGAAAGTCAACATCATGATGATATGAATATTCATAATTACTTCGATTATCTATTTTATTTGTGTTGTTTATTCTAAAGAGATAATAGTAATCGAAGTAATGGAACCTCAATCTATTCCATTTTTGATCATTTGGTGAGTCGACAATCCAAGTTCGAACGTCTTTCTGACCACACCTTTTGGAAGCTTCCATTAAAAATCGGCTTGTCTCCAAGTTTGACGATCGTCAAAAGATATAAAAAGGCAAAAACTGGTATTGATGTTCATCATCAAAACAAATAATAATCAATCTTAATCAAACAAATAATAATAACAATAATATTAATTCTTTTATTTCAATAATATAATTTTAAAATATAAATATGGCATCTGTTTTAGTATTGGGAGCAACTGGAGCAATTGGATTCGAGGTGGCACTGGAGTTCTTGAGGAATGGATACACTGTCTACGGTCTAACCAGATCAGAGGACAAGGCAAAGGAGTTATTTAAGAATGAGAGTATGTATTATCAATCCATTATTATATTAATATTTAATAATTCCTAACAAATTATTATTATTTTAAATATTTTAGTTATTCCTGTGATTGGAGCTGTCTCTGACTTTGACAAGTGGATTCCAATCGCTGAGAAGGTTAAGGTTGTTATTGAGGCTGTGGCTGACTTTGAAAATTTGGCCACTGCTCAATCGATTGCCGATAAACTCAAGGTTGTCAAAGCCAAGAATACTGGTTTGGCCATCATTTTCACATCTGGCGCATTGGTCTATGGCTCTTCAGACAGTGTGATCAATGAGACTACACCATACAACCCAATGAAGAACCCATTGGTCGAAGCCAAGGTCCAACTCGAGAACCATTATCGCCAAATTGGTGGCATCGTCATCCAACCAGTGTTTGTGTTTGGAAAAAAGGGCAGTGCCAGCTCCATCTATTTCGGCTTGGTGGCCAAGAACACTGATGGCAACTTCCAACTTTATGGCGAGGAGGGACAGTGGCGATCATTCGTCCACTTGACCGATCTTGCCAATCTGTACTACCTTGCCGCTTCCAAGCATGCCAGCGTATCCGGAGAGGTGTTCATCGGTGTGTCCTACTATCACAAGACTGTTGAGGTCGTGCGCGCTATAGCCAAAGAGGCAAAGAAGGAGGTGAAGTCAATCACATTCGTCTCACCTGTTGAGAATCCATTGTCTCAGATTCTATCTGTGTCCAGTGCATCTTCACATCAGAAGGCCAGCACCCTCTTGGGATGGTTCCCAACCCAGCCATCTATCATTGAGACACCCACAAGATATTATAACTCTTGGGTCAACAATAACAGCCAATAAATAAATTAAATAAATTATAATTGTTATTGAACGACTGAGATTCGGATATCTATTTATTACATTGGACAGCAGTTCAGTATCAACAACAGTGACAACCAGGGAGACGTACAGGAGCTGGATCGAGAACTACTGGATCATCGTTTCCCTCAATATCTACGGCTGCCTGTTCCACTTCATGAGGTTCCTCCTCCCCAATGTTGGCAGCTACTTCGACTTGAATTGGGTGCACCTGAGGTTCTACTTGTTGGGGAGCAACTTGATGTTGAAGGTTGTCCAATTGAGCTCGTAAATCAATATTCTCTTGTCTGAGTTGATCCCGCTCAACCCTGAGTGCATCAAGCTCAACCCTGAGTGCATTAGCCTGAGTCTGGCGTTCATTCATCAGAACTTCGTGATTGGCGTTGATTAGATCAATTTGGGCCTGATGTCCAGCTGTCTCATTCTGAAGTTGAATGATCATTTCCAATTGAGCCCTAGAATATTTTCTTTTTAATGAATATTTATACATCTTTATATCTGAGTTGAACTTTACTTACAAATCATCAACTTCTTCAATTAATTGTTGTTGTGGGTTCAGGGGGGGAAGAAATACCATTAATATAATTTATTAATATTAATAAAAATAAGTTTAGATTGCTGGTAAATATTATTTATAAATCTAATTAAAATTAATAGTTTTCAAAGATTATTAATAGATTGGAGATTGAAACTAGTCATCGAATATTTATACAGGTTACTCAAGGAGATTCTAACTCATTTGTAGGGTTCAAATGGCATTCGTTTGTTATTATGATGGAATTAACATCCTGATATAATTACCACCATGGCCATATTGGTAATTCAATCACTTTGTCACCATAGCCACTAGAAAAAACACCACAGTTACTACAACTTCGCTTGTTTGATGTCCCCACAGAATCGATTACCACGTCTGAACAAAAGCGACTTAAAGATTCAGAATATTGATTAACTAATAATTGTGATGAGTGATAGTCATGGATCATCACCATCACCACTCCATCGATCGAAAATAATTGATCAATCGTAATCGTTTGTTTGAGTGAAACATTTAGTCTTTGATTGACATGAAGAACTTCCTTCGTTCTATTAGTATATCATCAAATAGTGTTTCGTCATCTTCTTGGTTGTCTGGGATTGATCGTGACTTGACCTGGATCACTGAATTGATAATTGGGTAAATTGATTGTGTACCTAGAATAGTGGCCATTACAGAGTCATCACTCAAACATTGTTCCAGTTGATCAATTGGTATGATTATCTTGTCCGGCCATCTATTGGATGTGATTGTCAAATGATCGACCTGAGAAATATTCGATGATGATGATGTAGATCGAGTGATCATCATCTTAAAGTCATTGAACAATATTGAATCTAGTGTTTGGTGATACTGCCTAATGATTCGCGTCGTCCATTTCTTGAGTTGACCCTTCTCGATGGCCAGACCTTGATCCAAGAAGAACCTTATGTTTGGTGCCGTGATTGGTTCATCATTATCCAACAATTCATCAAAGATATCATCAAGATCAAAGTAACCCATAACAACAACGGTGAACTCTTTGAGCATTGGATATTGATGATGAGGAATTTCATCGAGACAATTCTCCATGCCATTTTCACCATCGCTAATGACCAATGTCAGTGACTCCAGTGATGATAGAGTGTCTTGGTACACTCTTTGTCGGTCTTGGGGTGATACCATCTCGAACAGAACTATCATTTCGTCGTCGTTGTCATCACATTGAGAGGCGGTACCGCCTTTACCATCCCCCTTGAACTTCATTGAATGTTCGAATTCGTCCACATTGCTAACAAGGTCTTTACGCTTGCACAACACATAATTGTCACGTTTGATGTACTTGGAGTGAGGAGTGGGACAACATCTGCCCTCCCATGCCGACCAACGATTGTCCACAAACCTACAATGACACCAGCCTTCTCTCTTTGGAGAGCCTGGCTCCTGATAGCAATCAGGGCGGTTGATGGTCATCTTGCGAACATTCTTCAAGACACAATGTCGTCGAGCAATGTGATCGTACCAATCAGTGCACTTGTAATGACCATAGTAATTGTCGGGTATTGTGACGATGTAGACATGATCATACAACAGTGACACCAGACGAAAGAATCGCCAACATACCAAGTCGCATTGAATCCATTCCTCAATGTTATCAATACCCTGATCACAAATCAGAAGTCGAAGTATGTATTCTTGAAGATAACGAGGAAGTGACGGCAATTGAAATGTCTGAGATTGCATGTCATCTTGCTCGACATCATGGTCATGGTAATGCACATTGATTGGCATTGAGGCCGATATTGAGATTGACTGAGTGATTGATTGATCTTGTATATAATGTGGAAGTGGCTTTCCTGTCAGATGAGAGTGAAAGCGGGGCGGGTTCTGTCGGAGTCCAGCACTTTGATGCGCTTCATGTTGTCGTTCATCATGTTCATCAGTGATTAAGGGTTGAGAAGTAGTTTGAATCACTCTATTATTAAATGGTCGTAGGATCGAAAGGTATTGACCCATATGTATATGTATTTATGTGTATGTATTTGTTTGATTGTTTGATTTATTGAATGATTATAATGATTTGTGTGAGGGTCTAGGGTTGAATTTATGGATACGACGTAGGCATGATAATACAACTTTGACACCAGATGGAAGAATCGCCAACAAACCAAGTGAACCTTTGAATCCATTCATCAATGTTATCAATACCCTTATCACGAATCAAGAGTCGATCATGAATGTGAGGTGGAAGTGATTGCAATTGCAATAGTGTCAATGATGTCAGAGATTGGTGATCCGGGCCTAGATCCTGCACATCATCCTCTCATTATCGAACGTCTCACCACATCTGTTTAGTGATCGAGAATGAATCCATATATGTATGTATTAATGTATTTGTTTATTTGATTGATTGATTGAAAAGAATGTCTCATGGGTGGTGATTGAACGTGACTCATCCCTTTAGATTCTGAAATACCTAGAATAGGAGTATATGGAGAGATCCCATAACATTCATCTCATTAGCCAATGATGCCTGGGATGGGAGTCAGGCGGTCTGTCGGGCCAAGTCCAGAATAAGTCATGGTACAAAGAGATACAGTGAATGTGTGGGTGTGGGTGTGGGTGTGTTTGAGGTTTGGGTAAGATAGATTGGAGGTTTGGGGTGGTTTTGTGTGACGAATCGTATTGTCTGTGTTTGTGTGTGTTTGTTGGATGGCTGTCTCGCTCAAAGAACAATGGACCAACATCCAACAACTCCTTCTCTCTCTCATACACACACGCACACTCCATGGACATCCAACAAACAAACTAACTCCAACACACATCTCTGCCTGCCTGCCTGGCTATCAAGTGCCAAGCCTCTAGAACTCGACTCACTTACTTGCTCCTCCTCATCTCCCAATAGTGTTCGTTGTTTGTTTGAAGAAGAAGAAGATACTATTAGTATTGGTTGGTTTGTTCGGCGACCCATTGAGGCATACATTTATTCATTCATTCATACATTCATACAAAGAGATACATATATCACTTTAGAACAAACAAACAAACAACACAAACAGGATATCTTTTATTTGTATATAACATAGATATTTTGCAAAGTTACCTTTATTATTATTATTTATTTGTTTGTTTATAATAATAACAACATTCATTCAATCTTTGTACATATATCTTTACATTAAAGCAAGCAACCAAACAATCAATCAATCAATCAATCAATCAATCAATCAATCAATCAATCAATCAATCATTCACGAAAGGAAAGAGGAAAGGAAATAAGGGACATAGAAGATTGATCAATTGAGTGTATATATATTGGATCAATCAAAGCCAATCAATCATAAATAATGAGTTCATTCAATGACAAGGTTGGCAGCGATCAGAATGCAACAGAGAACAATAATAATATTGCCATTGGAAGTGGTAGCTCCGATGACATTGTTGAGAAAAAGGCAGATGAACAACAACAGCAACAGCCCACTCTATGTCTAAGTAACTGTGGATTCTACGGGTATGTCACATGACAGGACCATGGATATGGTAATGGATATGAATGAATATGTTATTAATATATAATGTTGACAACTCCATTGGACAATCAATGAATGGACAAAATGGATAATACAGTAATCCAAATACAAGAGGATTATGTTCAAGTTGTTATACAAAGGAGGTTAAGAAAGAACAAGATCATCTGCAATCACAATCATTACAAACTACAACAGAGATGTCAACAACATCACCAAAGGTGTCAACACCAACACTGACGGTGACGTCACCGTCGTCAGCAGAGAGATCTAGGGGAACTAAGCGATCAATTTATGAAGCAGCCATCTATCAGGAGACCGACACGTCGGTGCTCTCCACTTCACCGGCTTCGTCGTCGTACATGTCAAACTCATCGGTCGTGCTGACGCCGACAAAGGCCGCGTCAGAGGTGTCGTCGCCGTCGGTGGCAGGCATCTCCTCGCCCTCACTACTGCACATGCCATCGTCCCCAATCACACAAGCACCACTGTCGCCGTCGGGCTCGATGAAGTGCGGCATCGAGGGCTGCGGAAAGAAGATCCTGTCTACGGGCGTAATGAGCGAGTCCAACCGATGTCGATGCGGCGGCATCTACTGCGGCAAGCACATGCACAACCACGACTGCACCTTTGACTATAAATCCCAGGCCAAGAACGAGATTGCCAAGGCCAATCCACAGATCATGGCCAACAAGATTGTTAAGCTTTAGGGTGGGCTGCGAGCAGGCCACCATCCATCCAACCATCCACCAATCCACAATATACTCCACACTTTACCTTTACACCATGTTGATAATAAATACATCCTATTATTGCTGTCTATATTGCATGTCATTATATCAGCTCTGGTCCATTGCCATCGACTGGCAGTTATTCGTTCCAGGTTCGTCCGTCACCGCGTCCTCCAATATACAATCGTCTTCAGTGTTATCTTTTGTCCTATTCTTGTTTGGTGATGTTGATGTTGATGTTGATGTTGTTGTTGCTAATGGTGATGATGGTGATGTAGTCTTTTGTTCTCTTGGTGATGTAGTCGGTGTTGTTGGTGTTGTAGTCGTCGTCGTCGTCGTCGTCTCTGTATTCGTAGTCAGCATACTCATTCTTAGCAGCTCCTTCTGTTTATCCTGATGTGAATAGTTCAGTTAGTGATCGATTGAATGATTGAATGAATGATTGAGTGGATGACGACATACTATTTGTCTCTTGATTGCATCGTGTATTATGTCTTTGGGCTCGGTGTATAGGATCAATGACATGTTGCTGCCTTCGGGCATGTCTATACTTCGTGACAAGTTCATTGATGATGACTTGCCCATCAGCAGTGCCTTCAAGTCATTATGATGTTGTTGTTGTTGCTGTGATGTAATGTTATACAACTTATCAATCACCTTTATATTGCCGACTGGTGAAGCTGATGCTGCTTTAGTCGATGATGTTTCCTTCTCGTCTTTCTTTTGTACATTGATATTGTTGTTGTTATTGTTTCCGCTGGTTGTTGTAGCATTGTTGACTACAGGTGATGTGACCATTTGATCATCAAGTGTAATGATGGCAAGATGTTGATGTTGTGATGATGTCGATGATAATGATGATAATGATGATGTCGATGATGTCGATGATGTAGATGATGATAACGATGATGGTCCTATCCTGTGTCCATTGATCCTGCTTCCATAACCATAGCCATTCCCCAGACTGCCGCTGCCACTGCCACCTCCAATGCCATTACCATTGCCAATGCCATTGCCAATACCATTGCCATTGCCATAGCCAAAGACATAGTTGTAGTTATTGAATATATTGTTGCTATTATAGTTCGAATGAGATATCAGAGGTGATGTATTCATTGACGATGAAGACGAAGATGACTGAGTAGGTGATGTTGAACTATTTGTATTCATCAAAGAGTCGAATGATGATGATGATGATGAATGAGTGATGGGAGAGTCATCATTGTCATCCAGTGATAGTATACCAATCTTCTCAGCCATTGATTGAGATAGATACTTCTTATTGTTTTGTATACTGTCCATGTCATCACCATTCTCTTCATCCATTCTTCTCTTTAATATATTCTTGTAAGTCTTTGTCGGTGACATTGGCAGTCCATTTCCACCAACAATGAACTTGTTATCCGATCTACTACTACTACTATTATTATTAGATCCACTCATTTCACCATCTATTCTGTCTCTCTATCTCTATCTCTTTCTCTATCTCCGTCAATGTTTGTTTTTGAATGAATGAATTGTTGGGTTCACTCGTTTTTGTTTGAAATCACATTAAATCAAGAACTTGAACCATGGTTTTCTTGATGGTTTCAATAGTTGGTCAATAAATCCAGTGAGGCCCAAATAATTGCCAATGTAATGTAATTTATCCAATTACTGGTAAGATGTATAATAATCCATTGGATTTGGACCAATTTTTTATTATAACTTTGGTTATAATTAATTATTATTGACAAAAGACACACAATCTTTTTATCTCTTCACATTTATCTATACACAACTCGATTCTTATCAGTCCACTTCAATACCTCATTACACTTATACATGTCTGAAATTGACAAAGCTCGAGAGATTATTTGGGAGTCTCAGTATTACAAGGGTCTTGACATCCATTGCAGTTCCCAATCATTCCTCAACAAGCTCTCTAGAATCACCATAAAATGATGATTTGGATAAGTTGTTGGGTGGACGAGAATGTCGATGACAACGACCCAACTTGCTCTTCTCTTAGCCAATTGTCAGTACCTCTGACAAGCCGCCTTCAACAACTAGTATGATTAGATTATAACTTGTAAATTATCTTTCTAAATCTGAACAATAAATAACTAGTTAAACCATATGAAGACAAGTGTCGTTTTGGTCAATTCAAGTAAAAGTGTTTACAACACTGTAAAAAGCCCCAAAAAAGCAAAATATCTCATTTTTTGATCACTTTTCGTGTGATGACGACAACTACTATTCCTTTGCAGGCCTGGCATCTGCCCTCAAAACTGGACAACATTACATGAATAATATTGATTAACATATCTTTAAATTTCGATTACTTTATTGTTGTGTTGTTGATTGATCACCTATCCTACCCGAGGCCTCACATGAACACAGGGACTTACTTGCAACAATATTACAAATCATACTTGTAACATATACATATAGATACATATTCATACTTATATACATTAAAGATGAAGAGCTTTACAAAGAAGGTTGCTATGGTCAAGCAGAATGCCATGGAGAAGATGGGCAAGTCAGAGTCACAGGCTGATGATGCCTCTACCAAGGCACTCAAGGAGAGACTAGTCCTCATCAGAAAGCTTTACAAAGATGTCCACTCAACTGGAAAGAACTATTGTCAAGAGAGTGATAGTATGTATCATTGCATTGATTGATCACATGGACACACACTCACACACTGGAACTATCCCTACCCCCACCCCCACTCACTCAATCAATCAAAGAGTTGGCAAAGGAAGGACTTTTGTTCTCAGAGGCATTGATCCAGTTCTCGACTGGATGTATTGATGATGAGACTGTTGGTGTTGTGATCAAGTGTGTGTCATCGCAGGTCAAGTCATTGGAGGAGACAAGGACAACTTGCAATGCAGAGTCTGCTCACACGATGATCAACAACTTGGGCAAGCTGCAAGATGCCGAGCTCAAGCGTGCCAACGATCTGAAGAGCAAGCAGGATTCAATCCGTCTCGAGTACGACACTTTGTTGGAGCGTCTGAACGACGCCAAGAAGAAGAACGATTCCAGCTCGCCAAAGGTCATGACGGCCGAGCGCGAGTGTCAGACCTGCAAGGAGAACTACGATAAGGTCACCAGCGAGTTCATCGAGGCCATGGAGCAGCTCAACAGTGAGATGAACCGTCAACTGGTCACCGAGCTGCGTCAATACGCTCGTGCTCAAATGGACTTCCACATGCGTGCTGCTGAAATGTGGAATGACACCAACAATGCCCTGTCGGCGTTCCAGGCCTAAGGGTGTCGGACTTGGCCTTGGCCTTGGTCTTGGGCCTGGGCCTTGGTACCAATACAATCAAACCTCTTTTTTGTCACATTATACCACGAGCGAGCCACAAGCTAGCGGATGTCTTTATTATTATTATACTCTTGAGTTCTTATACTCAATCGAGTTGAATGAATGATTGAATGATGGATTGATTGAATGCCTGGCGAATTATACAGTCGACTCTCTTCAAATGTTCGGTCGTTGGAATGGTTCCAGGTGGAGTATGTTGGAGCGGAGCGCCAATACACACACGCGCCAACACTCACACGCGACAACACTCACTTTCTACTTGGATGATTGGCCGATGGTGATGGCGCGCTTCTTGGAGTAGCGTGTGGAGATACCGGGTGGCGAATCTTGGACGGAGCAGAAGGACTTCCAGGCGTCGTAGGAGATGCCGTTGAGCTCGGACTTCATGGACTCGACGGTGGCCTCCAACTGAGCGACGCGACGCTGCAGATGATCATTCTCGGTGAGTGTGTCGAGAAGTGTGCGCTTCATACGGTCAATGTCGCTGTCGTTATCGTTTCTGATCTTCTCCATGATGTCGATCTTGCTCTGCATCAGCTGGCACTCCTTCTCCAACTGTCTCTTCTTCATCTTCTTCTGCTCCTGTTGTTGTGACTGTGGCTGCTGTTGTGGCTGCTTACTGGCAGAGTTTGAGAACATGGACTTTCCATTCGCCATTGGTGGCGACATCAAGTTTGGCGAGTCCACTCCATTCATTGGTCTAGTTGGTGTGGACATTGAGATTGTGTACCTATTGGTCTTTGGACTTGGCTGCTAAATTGATTGATTCATGATTGATTGATTGGGTGAGTGAGTGAGGTGATGGAATCATTCCAGGGTTCATCCGCCCCACTTACTGAAAGATCAAAGGACTTGATGGGAGTGGTCGTGGTTGACTTTAGGGCTGGAGTTGATTTCTCGGGTGGAGAGTTGGTGATGTCGGACAGTGGCGAGCTGATGTTGTGCTCGGACTCCTTCATTGCCAACGCAGTGGTGGTCTTGCGATGTGACTTGAACAAGTTGTTCAAATATTTCGATGGCTTTGTCTGTTTTGTTTGTTTGTTTGTTTGTTTGTTATTTGAATGAATGAGTTAGACAATGTTCACTTCACATCACTTGACTTTATATCATGACTTACCTCGCTAAAGGCATTCTCCTTTGACTCTACGTGAGACATTGATTCTCTCATCTTCTTTGGTGTTGACATCCTGTTGTTGATTGTTTGTAGTTTAATTTATATAAGTATTAAATATATATTACAAGATTTGTAAGTAGGATGATGTGATGTTTGATTCAATATTCAATTGGTATGATAGAATTGATTGATTGATTGATTGCAGTAGGCGCGACAACAGTTATAATTACAAACTGTTTTGTAACAGACACTTTCAAATTTGAATTCAAATTTTGGCGGTGACAGTTCAGCTTTACTAATATTAATGAGTTCAGGAAATAAAGACAGTGACATAGGCAGTAGCAGTGGCAGATGTAGAGGTAGTCTCTAGTTAGAAAGTGATCACTCCATGGAGTTAGTAAGACTGCACTGGCAAAGAACTCCCCTCAGAAAATATTCCAGACTCTGCCTGTTCTTTTGATTGTATACTCTTACTATCTCCCGTGACTTGGCCTAATAAAGACAAGGGAATAATAAACAATCATATATAACCAAGTGTTGTTATCCGAGTGTTGTTGGCAACTAGATCTAGGAGAAGTCAATGGAATGAACTTCGATTTGAATCAATCTTTGCAAAAAAGGGTCCAAAACCCCAAACAATGAGTCAACGCTTCTTTGACGTTGAATGAATGTCCTTGGCAAACACAAAGCAAGCAAGTCAGCAACACCAGTGTGGTGCAATTGATTGATTGATTGATAGTTTGATTGAATAGTTATTAACAACGACAAGTAGAAGATATATGTTATATAGATAGAGATGGGTATGTCATATCATTACATTGACTATATTGTATACTAACATATCAATATTGATGAATGAATCAATCAATAGGGAACCTGTTCTCATCAGTGTTCTTTAAGTTATTTGGAAACAAGGATGTTAGGATACTTATATTAGGTCTTGATAGGTATGTTGAATGATCACATGTTGCTCGAGCACAAGACAGTTAGTACTAACAACAACATCTATGTGTAGTGCTGGCAAGACAACGATACTTTATAAACTACAGTGTGGAGAGGTACTGACGACTATACCGAGTATGTAATTAGATTGATGTCGATTGATTGATGAACGAGTACTAACACTTATATGTATTATCTTGTCTAGCAATTGGATTCAATGTAGAGACAGTATCATATAAGAATATTAGGTTTCAAGGTAAATGATTTGATTGAATGATTGAATGATTGAATGATCGATTAGGATGAATGAGGCGATAATATAAATTCACGCGATGTTAACATAACATATCTATTCAATCAATCAATCAAACAATCATATTAGTTTGGGATCTTGGAGGACAGAGCACGATTAGACCTTACTGGAGATGTTACTATCCAAACACCAACGCCATTATATATGTAGTAGACTCGTCGGATCCCGATCGACTGGGCATTGCCAACGAAGAGCTTGTAGCGATGCTCTCGGAGGAGGAGCTAAAGACTACGCCGCTGCTAGTCTTTGCCAACAAACAGGATCTGCCCGGTGCGCTGACCGAGGCTCAGGTGTCTGAAGGTCTCAAGCTCAGCTCACTAAAGAATCGTCAATGGTCCATCGTTAAGACATCGGCCATCAAAGGACAAGGACTATACGAAGGCCTCGACTGGCTGGTCAACATCATCTCATCCGGTGGTTAATCTGGCATTGTTTATTTGATAATTAGTTAGTTAGATAGTTAGTTAGTTGCGACAGGAACACACAAGGAATGGATCATTCGTTCATTCATTCATTCACATTCAGCCAGTCAGTCAGCCAGTCAGTCATCGCGATGTACACCTCCCCAATGTATGATATATCTATGTTCTTTGTCACTCCCTCTCCCTCTTTGGTCAGCCGCATCATGTCCCTCCTCATCCTCCTCTTCCTCCTCCTCCTCTTCCACAGTCATGGTTCCACCCTGGCTATCTTGGGCCACAAGTCACAAGGTTGCCAATGCCTCATGTCAATCAAATAAATGATGATGCTACCGATTCAGTTGGCGAGACAAAGATACTTATATAATATAACCAAAATGACTTACTTGAGTCAACATGTGGATTGATTGATTGGACAAACTTGGAAAGTAGTGGATGGTTGTGAGTGTGATTGTGGGGTGTGGGTGTGATCTCATGATCATTGAGAGTTGTGTGGGCAACAACATCATCACAATCATGTTCATTCTCTTCATTTAACATTATTATGTGTATTGTATAAGTTGTAATATATATTATATATATAGTATTTATAAGTTGTGAACAGCAACAACGAAACATCATCATTAGTTAGTGCACTCAATCAATCAATCACAATATTTATTAAATATATAATATAACATCGCGACAAAGTTGACCACGACGACGAACAACAACAACAACAACAACAACTATAACAACATACAACCATGGTATTGATAACAAGATACTTACCATCGGTAATCGATAATAATAGACCTGTATTGGATGGTGTAACATCAAAGGAGCACATAGTGGATGCAGTGTTGCATAATACAACGGTTGGTGTGATCAATCAGTTGATGGTGCTGGCCGAGCATGCCAATAGTATCTTCACGGCACTGGCCACCGAGACCACGCAGATCACCACGCGACTCAATCGATTGAACGTGCGGCTGGCGCCGCTCACCCAGATGGTGCCACAGGTCGAGTCCTACCACCAGCGCACTCCCATCGAGACGATGAACAGCAAGGCGCGTGCAGAGTACCACGCCGAGAACGCCGAGCGACATCAGCTGTTCACCACGGTGTCGATGCCCGAGACCCTGACGGTGATCTACCAGGAGGTGTGTCGGCCGCCACCCAACCTGGCGCAGCTGGATCCGTTCATGGACGATGGCGCTAGCGCGCTGAAGCTGTACACCAACCCCAAGTTCTTCATCGATGAGTGGGTGGCCGAGATGAAGAAGCAGAATGAGGAGGCGCGTCAGCGACGTCGTGAGCGCAGGGAGGCGCGTTTGAAGAAGAAGGGCGAGAAGGTCGACACCACCGAGGTCAAGAAGGTGAAGCGCGTGCACAAGGTGCGCTACGACCCAGTCACTGGAGAGAAGATACTCATCGCAGTCGATGCGCCGACCACTCATCAGGCTCCAATTGCCATCCCCCAGCCTCAGCAGCAACAGCAGCAGCAACAACAGCAACAACAACAGGTGCATTACAACCCTGCGATGCCATATCAACCGCAGCAACCAGCCGTGTATAAGCCATCACCGATCAATAACAGCAACAGCTCGGTGCCACCTCCACCAAACATGCAGGCACAAGGCATGCCACAGCATCAATCATTCAACCAGCCCAGCAACCTGTCGATGCCGCCACCTCCCCCGCCCATCTCGGGCAACTTCACCGCGCCACCTCCCATCAATGTGTCGCGGGCGCCACCTCTGCCCCAGTCGCGCCCCGTCTCCATGGTGTATAACCACCCGCCACCCGCCATGAACCCTGCCGCCCCGCCTCCCTCTGGATCAAACATCTACAGACCGGCCAACGCGGCGCCGGCCGCACCACCTCCTCCTCCTCCTCCCGGACCCGCTCCACCTCCCCCTCCACCCATGGCCAGCAACCTGGCCTCTGCACTGGAGGCTGGCGGATCATCACTGCGTCACACCGAGACCACAAAGGCCAAGCCTGATACCAGGTCCGACCTGTTATCGGCCATTGTAGCCGGTATGAACTTGAAGCCTGCCGAGGAGAGGAAGGTGCCCGAGAAGACGGAGGCTGTGAGGACTGAGGCCGTCAACGTTGCCGACATCCTTGCCAGAAGAATTGCATGGGCTCCAAGTGACTCTGAAGATGATGATGACTCTGATGACGATTCTGATTGGGACTAATCCACCACACACTCTGGCGAGCTGGTGGCACTCAGTCCATCCGCGCGATCACTAACTCATTTACTCTCGCTCAATCGAATGGACACATCGTCCTCTGTACAATATAGACTTAACCAATCAATCAATACACAGCATGTATACATGTATAACAATCATTCGAAAGAAGATGGATGGCCATCGTTTATTCCTCGATCGCTTGGTCGTCATTGTCTTGGTCGTCACCTTCCTCTTCTTCGTCCTCGACCAGGTCGAACACCATGGTCCTGCGACTTCCCATCGCGATACACGCGACATTTCTCTCGATTGACAGCCAGAGTCGTTTGGCTGAGCACCTGGTTGGCGCGTCAGGGGTGAGTAGGCGACTCTTGTCACCTTGTGTCTCCTCCTGGAAGAAGAATCCATCGAGGAGGTCTATCATCACAGTGGATGGCGGGATGGCCACACCAAGCTGCATGAAGTCCAGCTCGGTGTAGGAGTATTGTTTGAGGCATGATGACTCCTTGGGCTTGGCACCCTGTGGGGTGACCTCCTCGGGTATCGACAGTACGGCCAGCAATGTGTTGTCGTAGAAGACCATGTCGTCCAGCCGGTCGCGCTCACCAAGCTGCACGCAGCCAAAGCGCCAATCAGCGCGTTCTTTGATTCCGACGAATAGCTTGCTCGACCCTGGCAGGAGAAAGGCCACAACAAACTTGTTATGGCTCTCTGATGTGAATGCCGAACAAAAGCGTTGCGCGCTGCCCTGTCCTTGCTCTTGCTCCAGTTGCAGTAGTTGCTTGCGATCGAACAATCCCAGTGGCGTGACGGCATTGATCTTAAACTGTGACACAATTGTGTTGTCGCTGGCCAAGTCCAACAGTTGCCTAGTTTGATTGGCAATCAAGTTGAAGTGATCCAATATATTACATGATGATTGAGTGTTCGTCGACGAGTCATCAAACATTAGAATGGAATGGGTATCACAATGACTAGGGCTCGACGCCACCGACAGAGGGTCTTGGTTGAGCCCCCCGTGGAGCAACTCGAGAATGGCGCGCTCATCATTTTGAAGCGATGATGATGGTTGCTGACTGGGCGTGTCGTTGATCTGATCTTGGATCTTGAGTAGCCATGTGAAGAATGACGAGTATTGCGCTGAGACCCCGCCAAAGACGCGGTCCAGACTCTCGAGTCGCACGCCAAACGCGCCACTCTGCCTCAGCAATCGCTCATACTTGTCAGCGTTGAGCATGTCCCCAAAGCGCTCCTGCCACAGCGACAGAGACCGCAGCGCGGCTAATGTGTGCATCAGATGTGTGAAGGCCGCCAGGATGCGCCCAATGAGCGTGTCACGCAGGCCGTCCAGCGTGCGAAGCGACGACCGCAGACTCTTGACATTGATGCCGTTCGCCAGGTATTGCGCCAGTGCATCCGAGGGCACGCCAATCATCAGCATGTCTGTGAGGTGCTGCTCGAGTGTGTGAGTCTGGTCGTAGCCAAAGTCGAGCAGTGTGCGACCGAATGACGACCATTTGGTCACCAGCTGGCTGTGTGTGTCGCTCCACTTGTCCACGACCTCATGGGTCAGCAGATATGAGAGTGTGTCCAAGAGCCATGAAGCCGTGACAGACTTGGTGGCAAAGTCAAAGATCTCACTGGCTTTGCGCGAGAGTATCGATGTGTCCACGTCCAACATGAGTGCGAGCCCGCTATCTGTCTCGGCGGTCAACATCGCTCTACCAAAGTCGCGAGACATTGCCACGTTTTGTATATCCACCGACTTGGCCGACTTGATCAAGAAGTGTGATGCGCCATACTTGTTCAACAGTATCTGTTGGATGTCCAGTGTGCCGATCAACGTCATGCCGAACCCCCTGTTGGTTGATTGTTGGTGATCATTAGTCTTGCGCCAAGTTCAATCTCGACTCGCTCGCGAATGTACAAACACATACAGGAATGAGATGACGCCACTCTTTGACACGGCGATCAACACGTCAAGGGCATCCAAGTCTTGAGGGAATGGCTTCATCTCGCTGGTGAGGTGATCGTGTGTTAGTATCATTGTCAACTCTTGTTTGATTGATTGATCGAGTGATCAAGTGATCGGGATAGTTCCACACATGAGATACCTACTCTTCCTTGTCTTGGATGTAGTGAGCAAAGGCTGGGAAGAAGGGTGACGCGTCAAAGCATTGACTAAAGTGTGACGATGATGATGAGGATGGGTTGTACTGCACCCAGAACATCTTGGTGACGGGCGAGACTGGTGCTGCGCGTGTGTAATGTATCTCTTTGCCATTCTCAATGGAGACGAGTGAGATCAGTCCGCTGGCATATCCAACTGCCAATCGCTTGCCATTCGGACTCCACTGTATTGATGTGGCAATATCATCATTGCCATCGACTGCTGACGATGCACCAATTGTAAGCAGACGTTGCCAATTCAGGAAACGATGTACAACTATCGCGCCAGACATTGTTAGCAGTGCCAGAAGGTCCATTGTCGGGCAGCACAATGCCTCACGGACATCGCCAGCTGCTGGTTTGTCATTGAGAAGTGCGAATGATTTCATTGTTGTTGTTGTTGTTGTTGTTGTTGGTTCATTGATTGATTGATTATGTTGACGAGTGTTGTTCACTGATAGATAAACTTGGAAACTTTGATCATGTTTTTGGCGCCACCACTCACTTTGGTCATCTCATCATAATCAATCAATCAATCACATAACATATGGAACCATCCCAATCATACAATCACTCACTTACTAACTCATCACAATAACCATGACCTGGTCACACTTTCAATCATTCTATCAATCAAACAATCACCAATCACCAGGTGAACAATGATCGAAGTCGATGAGAAATGCACTCTCTTTCACCCCAATAATTGACACTTGTGTACAATGTTGATCGTGATTCTTCTTTGATCAAAGGATGTATATGATGATGGTGCACATCTGGGGAAAGACACTTGCATAGGTGGTGCAAAAGGTGTATCCAGGGTGCAAAGTTGACTCTTTTTATTTTTAATCAAAGGAAGATTCATTTGTTCACAGTGACTGACCACTTAGAAGGGTTGGTTGCTCTTTCGTTCCCATTAGAATACAGGAGCACCTGGGCTCTAGAGGGTGGCACATCAACATCAAAGACACTTTCACCATTCGCACACCACTCAAACCCCCAATAATACTTAACTGATTCCACCACGTTTCCCCTTTTTGCACTCACATCAAAGTGTCATCAATGTCGACAGAGCTCCGATCTACCCTCACTCTCACAACAAACTTGTGTGCTGTTGATCAAAAACGAGTGTGTGTTTGATTAGTTGGGTGTGTGACACAGAGAAAGAGATGGCGTGGATGCTCACAACAAACTTGAGAGTGTCAACAACAACACTTTCATAAACATTTGACACGTCTACCTATCAATCAATCAATCTGTGTATGTTTGTGTACCTATCTGTATTATTTATCTGTATTCTCAATTATAATTATAACATTAAAGTCATTACATTGTAATAATCAATCAATCAATCAATCAAACATACAAACACATAATAATATATATTAGTTTAGTTAATTAGAATTAGAATTATATAGTTATATATAGAGATGGAGAACTCAAGTTCTGTTGTCGACGATGATGATAAACAAGTGTTTAATACTTTGATCAACTTGTTACAAAAGTACGTCGATCGCATGGAGAAGAGATGTCGCAAGGCAGACCTATTGCGAATGCAACATCAGTTGTCAATGTTGGAGAGCAAAACACTCACTGGCACTAACACTGGCAATGGCAATGGCAACACATGTAATTCAACATGTACTGGAACACCTATAATATCAAATGACATCACTATTATAAACAGTATGTTTGAATGAATCATTGAATGATTGATCGATCATTATATGTTGGAATGATCCCATAACTAATGACCAACTCCCCCCTCCCATCACTTAACTCGCCCGACACAACAGAGTCTAGCAAACTGATTAGACTTGCATTCGAAACATATAAAGGCACATTGAATGATGAGACGTTATGTAATGTGTTTAAGAGATTCGGAGTATATGTTGGCGAGCTGGACTTGTCAAAGTGCGCACACTTCACTATTGAGGCATTCATTGGTAGCATGCTGCCACTGCTGCCCAATCTACAGAGCCTGAAGCTGCAGTTCTGCAAACAGCTCAACGGTGACAACCTCACTGCGCTGTTGCAGTTGGCCAAAGAGTCCTGCTCGATACGTCACCTGAACATTGGTCACAACCAGCTGATATCAGAGGCCACGATGCTCACGGCCCGCACCATCCGCCTGAACCCCAACCTGACGTCGCTGTGCCTCACCCACTCCCACATATCGGACGCGGACGGCGTTACCCTGCTGCACGGCATCAAGGACAACGACAGCCTGCGCTCGCTGGACCTGAGCAACAACGCGATAGCCGACCTCACAATGCGCGCCCTCTCCGAGCTGATGGAGCGCGGATCGACACTGCGCGAGCTCAACCTGTCGACGAACCGCATCACCAACGTCGGCGTCATTGAACTGGGCAAGGGCATGGCGACCAACTCACACATCGACTGTCTGATCCTCAGCAACAACTGCTTCCAGGACGACGGTGGAGTCGGCTTTGTCAACATCCTGGCGACCGACCGCAGCGTGCGTCATCTGGACATGTCGGGCAACGACCTCGGTCCAGCCACATGCGCAGGATTTGCCCGCGCGCTCCAAGTCAACAGTACATTGACCTCGCTCAATCTCAGCCAGACCCGTATCGGCATACAGGGCGGCCTGGTACTCGTCCAATCCCTGGCCTCGAACAAATCACTACAACACCTCGACCTGAGCATGAACCAGCTGGACCACACCGTTGGCATGGCCATTGGCGAGTCGCTAAAGAGTAACCACACGATCAAGACTCTGAGTCTGAGGAGGAACCAGCTGGGCGACTCTGCCAAGGCCATTGGCAAGGCGCTGCAGGTCAATTCGTCTCTCGCCAGTCTCGACCTGTCGGGCAACCAGATAGAGCGCAAGGGTGCCAAGGCCATCGCCTACTCACTGCCGCTGAACAAAACGCTTCAGGAGCTGGACCTCAGCTGCAACATGATTGGCGACGACGGTGGACGATTGATTGGTGAGTCGCTCGGCGCCAACTCCACATTATACAAGCTCAACCTCTCGTCCAACCTTCTCGGCAACGAGTCATGTCGATCAATATCACAATCAATCGTGAGCGCACTTAAAGGAGGCGCCAACACAAACTCAAACATCAACACAAACTCAGATATACACAACCATTCAAACTCAGTCAATCAACATCAAGATAAACAAGACACAGACGAACTGATGTCCAACTTGTCGATATCATCGCGATCATTGGTCAAGGAGCAGGCCAACTACAATAGCAGGAGACTGGCCAGACATAACATGCTGACGTCGTCGACGCCAAACATGGACAAGTTCATGCCGGGCAAGTCCACGCTGTCCAAGCTGTCGCACCTGCTGCTCGACAAGAACCGCATCGGCGACCCCGGCGCCGTGGCGCTGGCGCAGGTCATTGCCAACAACTCGCCGATCCAGGTCATCTCGCTCATGTCCAACATGATCGGCGAGTTTGGCGGCCAGTCGCTGGGCGACGCGCTCAAGTACAACACCAACCTGTGCGAGCTCAATCTGGACTCGAACCGCATCGGGCCCATTGGCGCACAGGCCATCTCCAATGCACTCAAAGTCAACAACACACTGACGCACCTTGGTTTGAGTGGCAATCACATCAAAGATCAAGGCAGTCAGGAGATCATCAAAGCACTGGATTGCAACACATCACTCAAGTCCATCTACGTCACTCACAACGACATGAGTGAAGGTGTACGTGCTGTCGTCGAGGCCATACCACAGTTCACAGAGGCATAAAAGAATAAATGCTTAAGTCAATGCCAAATCATCCATCCATCCTTCCATCATTCATTCATTCAATCATTCAATCATCCCTGGTTAATATGGTTCGGTCGATCATCATTGGATCATGTTGCCACATCACCATCAATCACCATCACCAACATTCACCATTTTCAAAGTATTCGCGGAATACCTTGAGAGTCATTGGCAAACATGATGATGCATTGATGGTGGTGACACATGTCCATGCATACCATACCCTACATTCGCTTGGACGACGGAGATCATACAAACAACCATCCACTCCACTCTATCAATCAAACATCATCACTTTGGTTCTAGTAACCTCATACCAAAGGTGCGAGAGTGGTGGTCATCTGTCGTGTGCCACTTTAGGGGGCAATGTAAGGCCCATCAAAATATTGTTTGAATTTTCAAAACAAACACGGTGTAGAGATAGAAGATACAGGTCCTGGCCCAGGTATTCCCTTTCCCCAAGTGAGTTTGTGCGTGTGTGATCAAACAAACAAACACTATCTCAGTATCACCACAAACCACACCTGTCAAGTTGTTTGACACTTAGTGTGAATATCAGGGGTCGATGTGACCTCAGTGAGCTAACAAAGCTAAGCTTGGATGTACAGTTTGGATTGCAAATGGTGTCGTGGTGTTATTATTATTATTATTGTTGTTCATTCATTGTGTTGTTATAACTCTACTACTACTTGTTGTGTGTTTATTAATATATATATTATATTCAAATAATTAATCAATCTAATCAATCAATCAATCACATCATCATCATCAATAGAGACAAAGTAACAGATAGACAGATACATACATAGTTGTACATATAATATAGCATAGGATAGGATGTTCACATTCTTTAAGAAGAGCAATGAGAAGAAGGATGAGAATGATGTTGGAGGTGGAGGAACAGGTACACCAGGTGGATCAGGTGTGTCAGGAGGATCAGGTGGAATAGTTCCGCCACCAGCATTGGTGATCGGTGGTGCACTGACCGATCAGGGTACACTTAGACATTCAGCGACTTCAGAGATTGCAATACCAACACGGATCACAAGAGAGAGACGTGCTACAATAGGTGGTGATGTTCCACATCCCCAATCACTCCTCTACCCTCTCACGCCAACATCCAACAACATCGCCTCGCTCTCACCATCAATGTTTGCATCATACAAGACACAAGCAGAGCCACAGGTACCAACGTAAGTGATCATGTGATCAATGGTGATGATCATCTGACTCACTCACTCACTCAATCAATCAATCAAACTCAGTGGATACATTGATGAGTATTATGAGAGAGATGTAGAGGGCAACAAGTACTTGGAGAAGATGTGGATGAATGTGGTGATGCCAGCGACACAGAACCTTGCAAGGTTGGAACTAAAGTATATTGTTCGGCGTGGTATACCGGATTCGAAGCGAACACGTGTATGGAAGTTGATCAGTGGCTACGAGGACTTCAAACGGTCCTTGGACTACGAGTATGTTTCTGGCGCGATCACTGGCGAGGGTGCGCCTAAGAAGTTCCGCAACATCCCATCATTTGGCGGCATCGTCTCTCCATCCGATCACTTCCTCAACGACCAAGGCATCGACCACGTCAAGCGCATCCTAACCGTCCTCGCACTACGATGTCCCGAGGTCGAGTACTGTCCCTCCATTCCAGATATATGTATGTATGGACAATCAATCAATCACTCATCACACTCGCTAATCAATCAATCAATCACTAGTACAAATGTTATTGTTGTTCCTTTCAGATGTTGAAGCGTACACAGTGCTGAACCTGCTGATACAGCAATCAAAGACCAACATCAAGTTTAGATATCTCAACATCACCAACAGGGATTGCATCTCTTTCTCCCTAACCTTTGATACACTCTTCGAAATGACCGTCCCCAAGTTATACAAACGTTTGTATCCATCCTCTCACTGGCATTTGCGCCATTGCCAGGACAACGCAGCGACGGACACACCTGGCTAACACTCCCACCACCCACCCTTCAACAACAACATCAACAACAGATATGATTGGACTTGGTATCACAAGTAGCAAGGTGTTCACAGAGGAATGGTTCTCGAGGATGTTCGTGTCGCACTTGCCATTCCAGACGGTGCTGCGCGTGTTTGATTGTTTCCTGTGCGAGGGCTATAAGGCCCTGTATAGAGTCGGTCTCGGCCTGCTCAAACTGCACAAGAACGTGTTGATGAGCAAGGCCACGACGGCCGAGCAGTTCTGCTCGATGCTCAAACACCTCAATCTACAGATGTTCGATGTGGACAAGCTCATGAACCGAGCGTTCCGCATCCGTCTACAACGCAACACGGTGCAGAACATCGACGAGATGCAGACGCCCAAGCTCACTCACATTGCCGAGCCCCAGATGCCCATCTACTACCGACCCAAGATAACAACGCCCTCAGATATACTTCACAATGATGATGTAAGTCTAGTCCCATTCATTCAATTATTCAATCATTCAATCATTCTAATCAATCACGCACCCGCACGACAATGTAGTATGAGATTGTTTGGACATGGCTGCCGCATAGATTCTGCATCTGCGACCCAAAGGTCGTGTACAACTCCAACCGCGATGGTAGGAGTCTGAGGAACATGCTGGAGCGAGTGAAGGGCGAGTATCCAATGCTGATACTGATCAAGACGACTAACGGCGATGTGTTTGGATGCTTCACCGACGACGAGTTGGAGTCCAAGTTTGGCTTTGGATCGAGCAACACCTTTGTCTTTGTCATGAAGCCTCATGCACATGTATATAGAGCAACGAACAAGAACGAGCTGTACCTAAAGGTGTGTCCATCAGTGGATCTATCATCGTTCAGCATGTGGATTGGCGCGTCCGAGCTGGGCGATCGCGCATTATGTATAGACAGCGAGCTCAATGGCACCACAGCGCCATCAGACACCTATGGCAATCCTGCACTGACCGACGATCAATCGTTCAAATTCAAGAGCACGGTATTGGAAGTGATATCACTGGTCTAGACTGGATCTGTTCCAGATGCTTCGACGACGAAGATGACGACGTGAGGACTACGACAAGTATGAATGGAAGCTTCCAATAAAGCCCTCCCAATCAAACAACTTGGAGATACCAAGCCATCCAGCAAACCAATGAGTGAGTGATCGAGTGAGCAAGAGATGAGTCGAGGGAGATTGTTCGAGTGCATTTAATTAAGAATGATTGAGGTCGCTGTCCATGCTTCATAATGATGAGAATGAGCCAACGAGATTATCCAAGTGCAGGCGATGTTGTTTTAACATCGCCCGCACGTATGTCGTGGCCAGAGAGAGTATGTCCACATGTGAATGATTGAATGAATGATTGAATGATTGAATGGAGGATAGATGTACATAGGTACACTACAGACGATCTTTGAATGGATTGACAGTGCCAGACCTCTCAAAGAATCCTTCTTCTTGTAACTCTTTGTAGGCACGGATGACGAGAGGATCAGTTGGGATGAGAGCCTCCTCTTGTTTCAGCATTCTCTTCTCCTCCTTTAGTCTAGAGGCTGTCTCCATACTCTTAAAATGCTTCTTGGCCGATTGATTGGCGTTGAACTTTGCTGGAGCCTTTCTATTGCCTGTTTGTTGTATACAATGACGTTTGATTTGATTGATTAATTGATTGATTGAGTAAGTGAGTGAGTAAGTGAGTGAGTGAATGTTGTTGATTGATTGATTGATCTATATAGATCTGCACTTACCAGCACGACATAATGTTATAGCAGCTGCTTTGAACATGTTTGATGATTATCTGTATCTGTATATGTATCTGTTTATTTGTTTGTTGACAAAACAGACGAGTGATGTGGGTTTGATGAATGTTCTACTCTTTGAAAACAAAGAAACACATGATAATCGATGCTGCAACACGCCTGTGATTGTCAGACAACTTTCAGTCCAAATTCGAATGAATGAGTACGATGAGGTATGTCTGGTGCGCAAGATACCAGTCAACTCCAACGACACCGATACACTATACTTCCATATTATCAATTTGATGATACCCAACAAGCAAAAACCTCCAAGAAGAAATAATAAAGTATTGTGTGCCACACATCCATTCATTCATTCAATCAATCATTTACACTAAGACAGTTGTAGATGCAATGTCATCGACTAAAACATCTGATATTAAGATCATATTGGGATCATCATCGATATGGAGGAAGAAGAAGGATGAACATGTTCGGTGTTCAACTGCTGGTTGTAATACGCGCGATACTCATTCATGTCTTCTTCTTTGTCGTAGTCAGATTTTATCTCTTATGTTTATTCGAGGTTCAAGTTTATTTAAATTATTATTATTTATTTTTATTTGATTTATTTCTATTGTACAACTTATCACTATCTGTATATTTATTTATCTCTTCATTATCACATCATTATTGTCCAACACTTGTCTAATTATCTGTCTCTTCACATTATCCATGGACAAACAAACCCCCAAACAACAAGCCATGAAGCTCATCATGGAATCAACCTATGACAACGACATCAAACAGAAAGCAATGAGCAGCCTCAAAACCGATGATGACGCATTCCTAATGGTCAATCTCATCAAGCTTGGTGGTCTCCAAAAGCACTTTGAAGCGAGTAAGTACAAACGAGGGTGAGTCGGTCAAAGACGATTACTAACCAAGTTGTATTCATCTCTCGTTCAGGTTTGCCAAATTCTGCGAAAGATGCGGAGAGTCTCACCGACAGAGAGCTCAGTGAGCTTAGGAGAATATGCAGGGCTGAGTCTTTGAAGAGAAAGCGCCTAGAAGAAGACAGCACAGATTCCTCACTATCCCAGGCCGGAGAGGACGACCCTTCCGGCCGCAGTTCCCTATCAATCCTCAACAAGATCTCAAGAATCTCTATCAATTGATGATTTTGGTAAGTTGTTGGGTGCCGCTTACCTCCATTCAACACTTACTGATTTCAATGGAAAGGAATGGTCGAGGACCCAGGAGAGGATAACCACAGAGATGAAGATCTGGACCCTCTGCATGGAGAATATGACGAAGAGGAGTACGAGGAAGCTGAAAGAGAAAGACAGGCTGAATACTATAGACTCCAGGAACAGCAACCCCAACATGCTCTTCTCTCGGCCAGCATATTTGGCCAATGGTCAGTACCTCAGACAAGCCGCCTTCCACCATCACCAATTGCTCAATCTCCGCTGACATTTGAGCAAATGTTTGGTCATACTCCACCATCCCATTTCTACAACCAACCCGTACCTTCTCCACAACAATACGTGCCTTTGCCAGAACCAGAAAATCAACCAGCACCCTTGCCAGCACCAGCCAAGCCACCACCTGCACCTGCCAAGCCAGCAGCCAATCAACCAGCACCCTTGCCAGCACCAGCCAAGCCACATGCCAAGCCACCACCTGCACCTGCCAAGCCATGTCGACCTCTTGATTGGGTATGCAAAAAGAATTGCGCCAACTTCAAACCTCAGAAAAGAGACTCTACGAAATGCGTGTGCGGTCACCTTTATATTCATCATGATCATCAATAAAGTCACCTCCATCAAACCACCATCTGGACACGTAGTTCCAAATGGAGTTCAGATATCATCCCACTCAACCTCAATAAACAAACACTGAATCAATCAATGTGCGTTGGATTCCAAAGTGCACTGGTGAGGGGCTTGAGAGTGTATGTTAGTATTGAAACCATCTTCTATCTATTTGTTATTATTAATATTTATTAATATTTATTAGTATTTATTTATATTTATTTGGGTACACCAACCCATTCCTCATCACGGATCGACTGCTTGTTAATCTTAATTAAGCAAACATCAAATAGAATATAAGATATAGTGAAGTGATGACTAGGAGAGGGGAAATGTCAATGGCTCCAATCATTCATACACTCATACAGCATATCAACGTCGAATGATTGTTTACAGGACATAATCAAAGATATAAATGTGTATGAATGTATGTATATGCGTCAGAGGAAGGAGTGTGACATTGAATTAAGATCGATACTGTTGTTGTTATTGTTTGTTTGACAGTTGCTCTGATCAATCACAATGTGTGAGTGGGTGTGTGTGGTTGTTGTGTTTGATTGATCGGTGACAGACTGGCTTTAGTGGGTGAAGGTGATAGTATCTCCTTCTCCTCCAATAAAGTATGATACTCGAGTGAGGGAGAGAGGGTGTCTGAAAGGATTGTAGTGATAAGTACACACACCCCATCTATCGGATGCATCACTGTTATGTGACAGTCCATTAATGATTACTTTAAGCTCAACACTACGTTGTTTGAGTACCTGGCGCCAACAACATGTATACCAGTTTTGGAATCAATCAATCAATCAATCAATCATCCATCATCCATCATCCAGCCATCCAACCAATCACTCAAACACATTTATATCTATCCATCATCATCAAAGAGGTAGGGAATACTCCAACCTCTCTATCTATCATTCATTCATTCATTCTCTGTCACTCCATTCACCACTTCCCAACACTTGCCGCTATCATTCATTTATTCAATCAATCATTCTATCACTCTATCTCTCTATCTTATCCAATCAATCAATCAAACATCTACAAGGAAGTGTCAACAACATTGTTGTATCATTCATTCATTCCAATCAATCAATCATTTATTGATTCATTCCAGGTTGAAGTGACATTAACATGTCAGCGGCAGTTGCTACAACATCAACAACAATGGGAGTGACACCAACCTCTACCCAAAATGATCATCATACCAACAATAATGATGACTTGTTAAAGATGGTAGTCAGCTCAATAGCATCAATGGTAAGTGTTGGAATTGCACTGATTGATCAAGTCCTAGAACTATCCCACTGACCATCGATCTCCCCCCCTGACAACAACAACAGGATGGCCTGGAACAGATTGCCAAGGCAACAGAGAGAGGTATTAACTCATTGAAGGATATAAGGAAGTTCTTTAAGTTGCGTGCACAGATCGAGGATGAGTACTCAAAGAAGTTGACACAGTTGGCAAAGGTGGAGCCAAGTGTCCAATCAGGTTGTATAAGTGCCACGGTGATGGAGGCCTGGGCACAGATCAGACAGACAGCGTCATGGGAGGCAGCCTACCACGAGACACTATGCAACAATCTGAATGACGCCGTCGTGGGATCGATCGACACACTGCTCTCGGCATTGGAGAAGCGTAGCTCGACAATCATCTGCGACATCAACAAGAGCTATGGCGGCTACACCGAAGCCGTGCAGAAGCTGCGGAAGTCGCAGCAGACGTGGGAGAAGGCGTCCAAGGACTTGGAGTCGGCCTCCGCTGCCAGCTCTCCCGCGACCCAGCACATCGCCTCACGCATGTCGGTCAACGCCAACGCCAACACAAATGACACGCTACGCATCAATAGACGAATGCTCAAACAGAGCCAGGACGCCATCCGCATCAATCGTGAGCATCGCGAGCATATCAGCGAGACAAACACTATACAGGCACACTTCTACGGCCAGACACTGCCACATGCCATCGTGGACTTCTCGCGACTGGAGATCTATCGATCACATTTGCTCAAGCAGTACTTCTTAAAGTTCATCAACATGATCAGTCTGCCGCATTACGAGTTGGAGATGGTGGCGTTGCGCGATAAGTTGGTCGGACTGAACTCGGACACTGAGGTTGGCAACTACATACGACGAATCAAGTCATCGGTCAACATGGCGGCCAATCCTACGCCCTTTGAGTTGATCGACCTCAAGGGAGGGTCGGTCGATGGGGCCAACACCAACACTGACGAGAACATTGCCAAGTCGCCCATTCTCCAACCCTCAAGCTGGTCGACCACTACCATCATCGATGACTCTGCATCAACGGCAGCTGCAATGATCGTGGCCGAGCCAATCAAAGAGCCCATCACCCCCATCAAGTCGGCACAAGACTCGGCCAACTCAAAGTCGTCGTCCAAGGACAAGGAGAAGGACAAGGACAAGGACAAGAAGGACAGGAAGTCCAGGTATGGTCTGATGAGACTGGGAGGTGGAGGTAAATCAAAGAGTACCAGCAATGGCAAACAACCCCAGACTCCTCAACAACACTCTGGACATGGACGGCCACAGTTTAGTGTCCCACTCATTCAGTTGATGGAGCAACAGAAGGACACACATCCAACATTGACCATACCTTATGTGCTGGTGGTACTCAAGAGATATATGATTAGGATGGAAGCATTTACAACTGAGGGCATCTTCCGTGTGCCTTCAAAGATGTCGCATGTGGATGAGACCAAGAAGACGTTGGACGAAGGCAACTTTGATGCGTTGGACGCATGTGGCAACGTGCACACTCTGTCATCATTGGTCAAGCTGTGGATACGCGACTTGCCCGAGCCAGTGATCCCATTCAATATGTATAGCGACTTTGTCAACTCATACGATGACGCCGATAGCATGTTGGCTCACTTCCATCGTCTGCCCCAACTCAATCAACGCGTGTTGTCATATGTGTTGGAGATCATGCGTCTGTGCGCCACGCCAGAAAATGTCAAGCATACAATGATGAACTATGACAACCTGGCCACGGTATTCTCGCCATCACTCATTAGAAGCAGCTCGCCAGAGGTAACCTTTGGAAGCGTTTCCTCCGAGATTGCCTCGGTCAAACTCATGCTCGAGATCATCCCCGTGTTGGACATTGAGGATGGCATTGAGAAACCCTCGATACAACAACAACAGCATCAACCCATACATGATGACTCGACCTCATCCTCGAGTGGGTCCAATGGCTCCGGGGGCGGACGCACGTCAACGAGTTGCACGACGAGCAATGGGGAGGCAACACCTGGCCAGGCATTCGCGTCACCAATGCATACACCTCAGAAGTCCCCAATGATCATCTCGTCCACCCCCAGCTACAACTCCTCGCACCCGCACACACCACGCTTTGACGAGGCATCTGTGACAGCGCCAACAACAACCATCGTAACTGTCACTACGCCTCGCTCAACCACGACCACTACTGCGCCACAATCTCAATCACATGATGTCACTCCATTGCTCACGCCCAAGGTTGCCGCCACGACCCCGGCATCAAACCTCACCAACGACATACTCTGCGACAGCCCATTCAAGGAGTCGCTTCAGATATCGCTGTTGCAAGAGTCGATACGGCAGTCGATCGAGGACTTCCACACTCAGATGATTCAGAGCTACTTGGACGTGACGACCAACATGGACGTGACGGCGTATCATGCCATGAGCATGACCTACACAATCGTCAAGTGCTGCCACTGGCTCGAGCAGTTCGTCACTCATACATTCAAGATTCGATCGTTCGACAACCTAATGGCGGAGATTGAACAGAATGAGTTTATGTCGCCACCTGCCGTCGCCTTCAAGATACCCTCGTCCACGACCAAGCTCACGCCGTTGGCGCTGGGCGAACGTGTGCCACGCACACTCAAGCGCTGGGTGGTCATGTTCACAATGGTGGTCAACCATGCTAGCAACTACCTCTGCTTCTTGGGTGGCACGATGAGCAAGAGCCCGCCACTCAAGGGCCTTCTGTACGAGACGCACGAGTTCTTTATGAAGCACAAGTTGCTTACGCCGCAGGAGATCCAGCAGTCGGCCCACAATCAGATCGATGTGGAGGCGGCCATCAAGCTGGTCAACGGCACCATTGAAATGTCCAAAAGCTACCTCCCATTCACCATCCTCCCACTCATCAAGCAGCTCGAGGAGCAAGACCAGATTGAGATGATCTTTGATGAGCATCTCAGTGGCAGTGGCGGCGCGCCACCACCCTCCATCACAGTCGCCGATCATTCAGTCAAGTCTACTGTACCGGCTCCAAGTGTTCCTCCAATGTCGTCCCCACTGACAATGTTGTCTGTTGAGTCGCGGGATACACTGGTTCAGCCATTGACACCAACATCTACACTCAATCATCAAGACCTCATTCGTGAGACATCATTCCTGATCATCAAGATGTTGGACGACAGGCGAGACGAGTTAACTAATGGTACATGGGTGGAGCGTGAGCAACAGATACAGTTGTCGACCATTGCCAAACAGATGAACACAGTCAAGAGCTCATTGGAGGCATTCATCAAGGACCTCAATGTACCAATGCTGCCCTCGCCCACCAAGACTGAGACTGTCACTCCAACCACACCGCCTGGCGCTGGTCCACAAGTGGCGGCAACGCAACAGATATGTAACTATACAAAGACTTTTATTGATAAGTCCATCTTGATGATACGATCAATCGTGCAGGACCTGTCCAACCTGGACACCGAGCACTACAAGAACGTCGTCAAGAAGTTGTTTGAAATAAAGGGTCACATGGCAGTCCATCACGTCGATGGATCTGCCTAAGTGGTCCGCACGTTGTATATACCTTATCGCCTGGTCCTCGCGTATTCATCCAGTACATCTTTGTACCATGATAGATGACTATACTGATCAAAGAACAATGTGCAGTTGTATAGGTTGTACTTGTGGAGGTCTGGATCTGATTCTTCACACATCTGGGACACCATTGCCAATCCCTCTTCCAATGGATTCCTAATCTCCCTATACAACCTCTTCAACTCGTCATAGTTCTTTGTCATCTTGCAGTAATTAATGTAATACTTCAAGCTCTCATACTGTCCACGTAACTGATTGATGAACAGCTTCCATCCAAGAGTTGACTATGAGTGAATGATTGAATGAGTGAGGACTGGAATGGACTGGAATGGACTGGATAACATACTCTTAAGTAGATTACAACCTTGAATAATACATTGTCATTGAACTCTTGGACATAGAGCATGGTGGCACCTGCAAGAAGTTGTTGTTTGTCTTCCAAAGTCTTTACACATTCAATTCCAGATGGAGATATGCCACTCTTGATCTTATACAATATAGTAGCAATACTTGTATCCTTGTAATAACTCAACTCTTTACATAGTGCCTCAACCTAATCGTGTGAGATGATTGAATGAGTGAGTGATTGAATGAATGAATGAATGAATGAATGATTGATTAGTCTACATACTCTGTCGTCCAAGACACTGTTTATGTCTGTTAGGTGGTCGTTCTCCTCTTTTAAGAGGACATTCTGTTTCTGTAGTCTGGCGGACTCTGTTGTGGCGGCAGTCAAGGAATCTTGCAACTCTTCAATACGTTGAATGCTTGATAGCTGGCTTTCGATTTGTGATCTTGCACTGTCTAGCTCTCCTCTGATGATGCTGAGCTCCGACTGACTCTTATCTGCAATCTCACCCAAATCCTTGATGATGATCTTCTGCAACTGAACACTCTGATCGAGTCCATCTTCATCCGTTGAAGGTGGCGCTGTACCACCTAGTTGTGAAGGAGGAGGTGGAACGAATGTTTGATCATTGAGTGTTGACTTGCGAGGTGATATCCTTTGCATAAAGCTACGGAAGCCACCATTATTCTTTGACAATGAGCTTGATAAATCTTTATCACTCCTTGACCTCTCCCTCATTGATCCTCCCAACCTATTTGGTAATGAGTCGGCCAGACTTCCAGTGCTACTACTTGTGTTGCTCATCATTTCCTCGAAGCATGTATACAGATATAGATACAGATAAATGGGTCGGAATCAAATGAGTGAGATGAGTGAGTCTTGATTGATCAATCACTTTCTATTAAAATTTACCCACCAAACACATTCAATGAATGAAAATTTAGATAGTTTGGAAATGGTTACCAAGATGAAGCAGGAAGTGGTAGTCATAACCCATTCAAATCAACAGGCATTAGTGAGTATTACAATATCCCGAACCTGTATTCTCAGATTGATATGGATATTTATTGATTAGATTGGTTTTGTTTGTGGGACATCTTCAAGTGAGAGTTTGTCTATTAAACTGATCCCAACTTCCTCCTCTGCTTGGTCAGTGCAGGAGAAGAGTGGCAAATATTAACTGATTGTGTGCCGATATACATCTGGGTTGATTTGCCTGTTGGAGTCTGGGGCGTTGATTTGACACTTGGAGACTGTGGAGTTGATTTGCTTGTTGCGTTGAGGGTAGTTGAAATGCAAGATTGGATCAGTGGAGTTGGTTTGACAGTAGGAGTCTGAGGAGTTGATTTGACTGTTGGAGTCTGGGGAGTTGATCTGCCAGTTGGAGCCTGTGGAGCTGATTTGCCATTTGGAGTCTGAGAATTTTGATATCCCTTAGTTGGTGACACAGACTGGTTCAATACCTGTCTCCTTTCGGTTGGAAGTTGTTTCCGCACCTCCTGAGAGACAACATCATACTTAACGATCTCATTGGTGACCAAGCCTTTAAACAACTCCACTGTGATAGGGTCATTCGATGTTGAGTTATGTTTGAGTACCCTTTTGATGGCCGCCTGTGCTCCAGCAAAAGGAATCAAGCAGCCAGCGATCATGATAGACTTCTTATCGTCTGATGGTGTCCAAAGTATGAATCTCTAAAGTTGGTGAGCACTGAGAGAACTCGATGTTGAGATATATATTGAATTATGTGATGTTGGGCATAAACAAGTTACTCTACCCTTCACCCTTCCATACAGGTGATAACATCAAAACAATGAATGGGGATAGTATCCTTTATGTCGACCCAACCTCACAATGTACAACCAACTGTCATGGTACCACGCGTGATCCTTTTCCTTCACTGCACGATGCTCTTTTGTTTGCCAGGGCCACGTCAAGCTCAAACTATTCCTCCTCTCCATCAACCACCTCCTCAACAGTCCATGTACATCTTCTAAGTGGTATTTACCAAGGAATCKACAACAAAGCCCTCGTAGTTGATTTCAATATCGATATAACGTATGTAGCGCATATATATATATATGATCAATATGCCATAATAACACTAACAACCAACAAACAAATCCAACACAACAGTGCAGATAGTAATACCATAATCGATTGTCAACGAGCTGGTAATGGAATCAGAGTTATTGGACTAGCAGTTGAATTCAATATTCGTGGAGTCACATTCACCAGGTGCTCCTCTGTTCAAGGTGGCGCTCTATATATCAATGGTGCAACAGCAATCATTGAGGACGTTTCATTCGAGGATAACACAGCGATTCAAGGCGGTGGTCTTTACTCAATTGATAGCGATGTTCAGATCATATCCTCATCATTCACCTGGAATACAGCGATCCAAGATGGCTCTGCTATATACTTGGACTCAACTAATGCCAACATTTTTCAAAGTACCTGGAATTGTAACTCTCAAAGATCCAATTCCTACCACCACTACTACCACTACTGAGATCAAGTTTGTCGACAGTACAGTACTATTCTTTGACTGCTCATCGGTTCAAAGCGTATACACAGAATGCATTAACTCAATGGTCCATTCAGATCATGGAACCTACGACCTTTGTAAAATTACAACGCAGCAGCACACCACTTCATCTCTATTGTGCACTCTCCCTCCTCCTCTACATGACTATGACAGTTCATCTCCCACCTCCACCTCCGATATCCCATCAAGGGTAACAACAAACCAACCGGGCTGGAGCATGATATCCTGTAAGAACTCTGGCATCATCCCCAAACCAACATTATACAATATATTTCAACACCTATGTAATGTTGGAAATGGAACAAGCCAGACACTCACAAATCTACTTTATCCCGAGTTCACATCATTTATGCCCAACGAAAAAACGCCTGTGTCTGGATTCATCTACTCCATCATCTTGGTCAACAACACCAACAACTACTTTCTAAAGCTAGAGTCAACAAACCTCGGTGTTATTGTGTTGATCAACAACGTCCCATTGTTGGATAGCTACTACATCAACGAGAGAACATCATCAGAGAGAGCTGTGATGCTTTCATCAGAGCAAGGGCATACGGTGTAATTTTAT